AATGGAGATATCGTAGGTTGAAGGTAGACACACTTGTAGGATGGTAACTATATTGTCAGACTGAGATGAGGGATGGAGCCCAGTGCCTTGCCTGTCTTCGCCTGGATGGTCTGCCGCCGAGTGAGGCCGGGACAGAGGTATGAGCCTACACATCTGTATCCCGTGACGTCACACAAAGCCACAGGCCTACAAGGGATCTCGTATCTAAAGCACATGGATGATACTAATATGCTATGCTATATAATACTGGGAATACAGGGATCAGCAACTATGCTGACACAGATCCTTTTCCTGATGGGACCTTTAATGAAAGTGCCCTTCTTCTATGCACTGATATTCCGTACCATCAGCTATTTGTTCATACTTCGCTGCATTACACAGCAGCCCGTATCCACTTGCATAGGTGGTATACGCTCTGTTCTTTATATCTCTCTCCTTCTCGGGCATTATCTATTCTGGATATTGCCTTTATTGTTTCATCATTACGGCCACCGCTTCTGTTACTTGGCGATTTTAATGCCCATCATTTCCTCTGGGGGGGTCTCACTGTGATTCCATATGGGAATCTTTATTCAGGAAACGTTTCGCCACACAGTGGCTTCATTAGTCCAATACAAAGAGGAAGGCGTAAGGAGAGGAAGAGTATGAGGTAATCAGTCCCTCAGCCTGGAATCGATGTGTTCAGTCCATCAATCTTGTAGAATGTACAGCATAGGGCCGTAGACGTGGCTTATATACTGTAGTGAGGTGAGTTGAAGCAGACGGAGGCGGGGTCATAGTGGTACCATCCACTAGTCGAAGTAGGTCTTCGTCCAAAGGTTGAACAAGTGTTGAAGAATTCTTTGTAAGAAGATCCCATGATGCTGCATTCATCAAAACTGTCAGACACTGCAGCATCATGGGATCTTGTTACAAAGAATTCTTCAACACTTGTCCAACCTTTGGACGAAGACCTACTTCGACTAGTGGATGGTACCACTATGACCCCGCCTCCGTCTGCTTCAACTCACCTCACTACAGTATATAAGCCACGTCTACGGCCCTATGCTGTACATTCTACAAGATTGATGGACTGAACACATCGACTCCAGGCTGAGGGACTGATTACCTCATACTCCTCCTCTCCTTACATATGTTCTTATGTTCTTAATGTTGCATCTCCTGCCGAGTCTTTTGCTTTCATAGGCAGTGCATAAGTGTTCGCAGTAAAGCTAACAGAATTCTTGGCTTCATATCTAGAAGTATAAATAATAGAAGTCCTCAGGTTGTTCTTCAACTCTATATATCCTTGGTTAGGCCTCATTTAGACTATGCTGCTCAGTTCTGGTCACCGTATTACAGAATGGATATAAATGCTCTGGAAAACGTACAGAGGAGGATGACAAAGTTGATCCCATGTATCAGAAATCTTCCCTATGAGGATAGACTGAGGCCCTGAATCTGCACTCTCTAGAAAGACGTAGAATCGGGGGCATTTGACTGAGGTGTATAAATGGAAAACAGAAATAAAGGGGATGTAAATAGCATGCTAAAAATATCTAGCGTAGATAGGACTCGCAGCAATGGTTTTAACTTGGAAAAATTCAGATTCAGGAAGGATATAGGAAAGCACTGGTTTGGTAATAGAGTTGTGGATGAGTGGAACAAACTCCCGAGTGCAGTTATTCAGGCTAAAACGTTGTGTAGTTTTAAAAATAGGTTAGATAAATACATGAGTGGGTGTGAGTTGGACCTGACTAGCTTGTGCTGCTGGGTCAGATGCCGTGTTCCTTCCTTAAGTGAATGTGATTGACCTGACTAGGTTAAGGAATTGGCTTAAGCCGTTGGGAGAATTGGACCTGCCTCGCATAGGACAATAGGCCTGCTGCAGTGTTCCTTCATTCTTATGTTCTTAAGGTTAACTCAGGATAAAGATAACTCATCGAGTGATCGTGTCTGTGAGCTGATCTTTTATAACAGTAACAGATAACAGTAACCTCACGCAACAGTTTAACAGATTGTACAAGAATGGTATACAATACCGACAAGATGAAAGTTAAGACACATGTGCAACATCCGGGTATCTTTATTGTAGACGTTTCGCCATCCAGTGGCTTTATCAATACAAATTCTTGGACATAATAAGAAAACAGAAGAACTATATACAGAAGATGAGGTAATCAGTCCCTCAGCCTTGGAGGTGGTGTTTACAACACCGTGGTTGTAGAGATTCTGAAGCACAGGTAAGGAGACTGGGGCTTATATAGGCGTCAGTGAAAGGGACGTGTAGCTGACGAGGGCATAGTCACTGGTAGGCGGGATTCCCCAGGACCTACTTCCACTGGGGAATCCCCCCTACCAGTGACTATGCCCTCGTCTGCTACACGTCCCTTTCACTGACGCTATATAAGCCCCAGTCTCCTTACCTGTGCTTCAGAACCCCTACAACCAGGGTGTTGAAAACACCACCTCAAGACGAGGGACTGTTACTCATCTATTGATATAGTTCTATGTCTTCCAATTAGTCCATGAATCTTACTGATAACAGCCACTGGATGGCGCAACAGTCTACATATACATTACCCAGATGTAATGCCCAGTGTCCTTAACTTCTCAGTTTAACATATACAAAGGTTCAATGATTACAACACCAACAGTACCAGGATCGACAGACACTACATCAACGACTAAAGTCAACGACACAATAGTCAAGACACAACATCGACTGACACAACAGTCAACAGATACAACATCCAACGACACAACAGTCTAACTTGACGCTAACAGTCAACAGACAAAGGTCAACAGACATAACAGTCAACTGACACACTCAACAGACACAAGAGTCAACAGACACAACAATCAACAGACACAGTCAACAGACACAACAATCAACAGACACAACAGTCAACTGCACAACAGTCAACAGACACAACAGTCAATTGACGCAACAGTCAACAGACACAACAATCAACAGAGACAACAGTCAACAGGCACAATCAACAGACACAATCAACAGACAACAGTCAACAGACACAGCAATCAAGACAACAGACTAGTCCAACAGATACAAACAGTCAACAGACACAACCATCCACACAGACACAACAGTCAACAGACACAATCAACGACACACTCAACAGACACAACAACGAACAGACACAACAGTCAACAGACTAACAGTCAACAGACACAACCGCAACAGACTACACAAGTCAACAAAACAAACAGTCAACAGACACAACAGTCAACAGACACAACAGTCAACAGACACAATCAACAGACATACAGCAGATCCTGGAGTCTACACCTGGAGACAGTCCGGGTCAACGCCCCCGCAGAACGGTCTGTGACCAGCCCTGAACAGACAACAGTCAACAGAAAATAACGACGTCAACAAACACGAACATTCAACAGAACAACATCAACAGACACAATCCGACACAGACACACTCAAACAGATCACAACAGTCAACAGACACAATCAACAGACACAAGAGTCAACAGACACAATTCAACTAGACCAAGACTCAACAGTCACAACAGTCAACTGACACAAAAGTAACAGACAAGTCAACAGACACAATAGTCAACAGACACAACAGTCAACAGACACAATTAACTGACACAACAGTCAACAGACGCAGTCAACAGCCAACAGTCAACAGACACAACAGTCAACAGACACAACAATCAACTGACACAACAGTCAACAGACGCAGTCAATAGACACAGTCAACAGTCAACAGACCCAGTCAACAGACACAACAGTCAACAGACACAACAATCAACAGACACAGTCAACAGACTGAACAATCAACAGACACAACAGTCAACACACAGTCAACAGACAACAGTCAACAGACACAGCAGTCAATAGATACAACAATCAACAGACACAACAATCAACAGACACAATCAACTGACACAACAGTCAACTGACACAACAGTCAACAGACGCAGTCAACAGTCAACAGACACAACAGTCAACAGACACAATCAACTGACACAACAGTCAACAGACGCAGTCAACAGACACAGTCAACAGACAGTCAACAGACCCAGTCAACAGACACAACAGTCAACAGACAATCAACAGACGCAGTCAACAGACTGAACAATCAACAGAACACAACAGTCAACACACCCAGTCAACAGACACAACAGTCAACAGACACAGCAGTCAATAGATACAACAGTCAACAGACACAACAGTCAACAGACACAACAATCAACTGACACAACAGTCAACAGACGCAATCAACAGACAACAGTCAACAGACACAACAGTCAACAGACACAACAATCAACTGACACAACAGTCAACAGACGCAGTCAACAGACACAGTCAACAGACAGTCAACAGATCCAGTCAAAAGACACAACAGTCAACATGCACAACAATCAACAGATACAACAGTCAACATTCACAACAGTCAACAGAGAGAATCAACAGACACAGTCAACAGACACATCAAACAGACACAACAGTCAACAGACACAACAGTCAACATACATAACAATTAAGTGATACATCAGGGATCAGACACAACAGTCAACAAACACAACAGTCAACAGACATAACAGTCAATTGACGCAACAGTCAACAGACACAACAGTCAACAGACACAACAGTCAACAGACACAGCAGCAACAGACACAACAGTCAACAGACACAACAGTCAACAGACACAACAGTTAACAGACACAACAGTCAACAGACACAACAGTCAACAGACACAACAGTTAACAGACACAACAGCAACAGACACAACAGTCAACAGACACAACAGTTAACAGACACAACAGTCAACAGACACAACAGTCAACAGACACAACAGTCAACAGACACAACAGTCAACAGACACAACAGTTAACAGACACAACAGTCAAGACACAGACAACAACAGTTAACAGACACAACAGTCAACAGACACAACAGTTAACAGACACAAGAGCAACAGACACAACAGTCAACAGACACAACAGATATAAAGGGGGCAGTAAACAAACGTTCTTACCTGTTATTAACGCCCCAACAATAGCAGTAAGTAACCAAGCTCGCCCCACCATCTTCCTCTTATTTCTTCTCTCACTCTGTCAAAAATACACCTTAATTAGTTTGCAGAAATTTAATGGAGAGATATGGTAATTATTTACTATACATATAAATACATATCAATATAACATAAATTTAATATAAAAAAAGTTTGGGTGTGCTATACGTGATTTTGATGACGGTGTTGGGTACCTTGTTCTGAACCTTGTCACCATATATCTCCTTATTTAATGATGGGCTGCCTGTTTCTTAGCTTACTGTTGGGTAGGCAATGTGTAGCTGACAGTGAGGGACAAACAAGTTCCATAAACAGGTACCATTGCAAACATTCTGCCTGGAACAACAAGTTCCACAGCAAGGTACCATTGTAAACATTCTGCCTGGAACAACAAGTTTCACAACAAGGTACCATTGCAAACATTCTGCCTGGAACAAAAAGTTCCACAACAAGGTACCATTGTAAACATTCTGCCTGGAACAACAAGTTCCACAACAAGGTACCATTGTAAACATTCTGCCTGGAACAACAAGTTCCACAACAAGGTACCATTGTAAACATTCTGCCTGGAACAACAAGTTTCACAACAAGGTACCATTGCAAACATTCTGCCTGGAACAACAAGTTCCACAGCAGGTACCATTGTAAACATTCTGCCTGGAACAACAAGTTCCACAACAAGGTACCATTGTAAACATTCTGCCTGGAACAACAAGTTCCACAACAAGGTACCATTGTAAACATTCTGCCTGGAACAACAAGTTCCACAACAAGGTACCAAATTTTAAACATTCTGCCTGGAACAACAAGTTCCACAACAAGGTACCATTGTAAACATTCTGCCTGGAACAACAAGTTTCACAACAAGGTACCATTGTAAGCATTCTGCCTGGAACAACAAGTTCCACAACAAGGTACCATTGTAAACATTTGCCGGAACAACAATTCCCCAACAGGGTCCTTGTCTTTTGCCTGGAACAAACAAATTCCCAAAAAGTATCATTTTAAACATTTTGCTGGAACACAATTCCCCAACAAGGTACCCTTTTAAACATCTGCCTGGGGAAAAAAAAGTTCCCAAAAT